GCTGTGGGGGTCGGGATGCGTGGCTCGACACGCCACCTGTTGTCCGGCCGAAGGTTCCTGGCACACTCACGCGCCCACGTGTTGTCCGGCTGAGGGTTCGTGACGGACTGCCCCCACGTGCTGTCCTGCCGGAGGTTCGAGACGGACCGCGTTCCGCGTGTTGTCCGGCCAAAGGTTCGGGACGGACTGCGGGGGCAGGACGAGGGCGTGAAGGAAAGAGTGGTCCGCTATGGGGACTCAGCGTAGGAACTCGGAGACTCTTCCCCTTTGCTCATCATACCCTCATGGGCACGAGGAGGACTCCACAGAATAGAGGGGGAACGCTTTCCTTGAAACCCTCCAAATGAGACACATCTCTATGGTGTAGAATTTAGCTCTTTTTATGAGAAGTCACTGTTTCGTAGCCGATATATGAAAACCCCTTATTACTGGAATTTGACGCAAGGGATCAGATCTCCGATCAGGATCAGAAATGCCGATCAGATGTCATTAATGAGAATAAATTAAAATCAGGGGCCCAATTTTTCACTTTCTTTAGTGGCAGTTTTCCTGATATACAGTACGAAAATCATTGTTTTACTCCTTTGTAGTAATCAAGGAAATAAAATTGATGGAAGAGATTTGAGGTTGAAGATCCGGAGACGTGGGAGACATCTACCGTCAAAGTTATGTACCTGAAGTCCGTGTCATCCGCGCACAGGTTGCGAATAGTGCCCTTCAGAACACAGAGACATCCCATGGATCTCTGCAGCCTGTCCCTCAGTCTTTATAGGATTTCCTGGAGACAGTGGCGTGCCCAAGGGGGGGAGGGTATGGGGTCATAACCTCCTCCCCCCCCATGGGATACATTTTACTGGTTCGATTCTCAAGATATTTTTTTTTTTACATTTGGCCATATATGGAAGATGGGTTACCAATTTTTCATGTCAATCCCCCCATTGGGATTTTCTGTGCACGTTAATACCTGGAGACATCTTCAGTCGCAAGCTTTTCAATATTCCAAAAAGGGATGTCCTACAGATTTCCCTTTCGGGGTATTCAGAAGTAGACGACTAAAGATGTCTAAAAGACATCCCTAAGATGTCCCGAAGACATTCTCCTCAAGATATAAAAAATGTTCGACTGAAGATGTCTTCAAGATATCTCTTACAGGATGTCCAGAAGCATTCGACTAAGGAGGTCTAAAAGATATCCTTTTCGGGATTTAGATAAGAATCTGACTGAAGATGCCTAATTTACTTCTCTAAGATGTCCTGAGGACATCCTTCTCCAGATGTCGGAAACCGCCCGAAAGAAGAACCTTGGAACAAGTCCAGTTGGGGACACTGGGATGTCACTGTGCTGTGTGAGATGGTTGAGACGATCAATCCTTTATCCGAGTTTTTTTTTTAACTTAAATTATATGCATGAAATGGAGAGCTTGCTCTGTCGAGTGGTATCTCTTGAAACCGTTTTAACTGAAATGCATCAGATGGTTGGATTCAATGAAGTTCCCAAGTTGGTAGCTGACCAGTCATTCTGTCAATCTGGACAGGAGAGGGAGAAGGCTATCACACGATAGTCTTCTTCATCCTCTTTAGAGCCAGACTTGGGCACTGGGACGACTTTGTTTATCATCCATTCTTCTGGGAACCCCCCCCATTTAAAGCGGTACTGATTATGAGGAGTAGGTGAGTGAGTGAGACAACCGGGAAAAGTCACCCGGCACAGCTGGAGTGACATATTGTGCTCCCGTGATCTTCAAGATTTAACAGGTTAGACACACCGATGGGCTATAGGCATTTTTCCTGCAGACCCATTAGACCCACCGGTGGGCTGAACGCTTCTTTTACTTCTATGCGCGCGTATACATCGGGTGGCCCGAAAAAACACGTCTTGTTTGACGTTTTCTCAAACCCGCTGTGGATGATCCATGTTCGTGATGTTTTCGAATTACATTGGAAACATCACAAAATGCTGCTTTTTATGCCACTTCTCATCGTAGTATTCTGCGTAGTATCGATGTTGATGCTACAACGTACAACAGTAGTACTATTCCACGACGTGTAAGATACAACGACCAGGACATGGCGTAAAAAGCAGTCTATATGGCGTCAAGAGAGAGAGAGAGATCATTCAAGCAGTGCTGAATCACCTCATGCGCGGAAAGGTGCATTTTATGACTCCACTTTGAACGACTGTCAAATTTTATTCAGACAACCTAGGAACATGAAACTTCCAGAAAACAAATTTTGTGGTGTTTCCAATGCTACAAAGCATCACGAACCCATATCATCCACAATGATTTTTTTTATGAAGCATCAAACAGGGCGCGTTTTTTCTGGCCACCCAGTATTTTGGTTTTTGCAAGAGGGTGTAGGCGCTTGTGCTGTGCCCTCAGAAAGATGTCTACTGTAAATAGGAAAAGAGGCTGTGTTCACAAATGCTACGCAACATCTATTAAAATCTTTTGAAAGTGCATTTTCTTATCCGAGCTTTTGCGTAATATGACATTCATGATACATATAGGGAACTCTTGCAAACAGCTCAACATCATGCTTTGCTCTTCGAGATCGCGAATCACGACACCGACTGATAACCCAGCATGTGCCAGAATATCTAAACACGCTTCAAGGTTTAGGACACCTTTGGGAAAAATGACCTCATGCATTACATGTTCAGATGGATAAAAAAAAATATGGAAACACTGCTAAGTTGTCATGGTAATACACAGGAACGAATTTTTTAAGCAAAAATCAAATGTGAATTCCTCGTAATGGCAGTCTCAAGCCTGTTCAATAAAAATTTTGACAATTTCTTTTAAATCTGCCATAATTCAAATATGGGTATATTGGATATGTATATGAAAGTTTAGAAGCTCTTGACGAACATAATAATCGACATTCCATTAAATTTTCAAGTCAATCAGTTAAGAAATATGGATTTGAACAAACCTTTGGGTGGCTTACTGTTTTCAGACAACCCTGTAAGTTTGGCCTCAGAGAGAGGGTTTTGAAATGAGCAAAAAAAAAAAAGACCGCGGCAGTCAACGCGTTAAAATTGGCCAGTGCGAAACTGAGCTCCGGCAGAGTGGTTAGTTTCGTGGATTCACTGCATACTAATGTGGGGAGGCAAGGAAATAAATCTGGGGATGCCATGATTTTCTAGTGATTTTATTATGTCTTTTGCCCCGCCTACAAGAAAAGTAGTTAAGGTTCTCCGGCGATGGGGATCATAAGTCTTGCCGTTCTTCTTGGAGTCGGCAAGCACTAGGACTTTAATTTTTTTTTCCATACGGGGTCCTGTATCTTTTTCTTCAAGCATGTCCTTAAAATAACGTCGTTTTTCTTCATTGATGATTACTTTTTTCTCGTTTCGCAGCTTTTTGTCGGTATCCTCCTTCACAGTATCTTGGGTGCATCGTAGCCATGCGGCATGAATCAGATTTCTCATTTACTTGCTTTATCTCATCATTTATCCGAGGAATGTTGGCGTATCTAACAGATGTCTTTATCAGAGGACAGAATGCATCGACGACGTTTGACCAGAGTTTCATAACGGTTCATGGTTCTTCATTGACATCGTCTCGGTCGGGCGATTTAAAAAAAAGCTCCAGCGTTTTCAAAGGGAAGAAAGTACGATTCGTGCATTCGAATAGAAAATATAAGATTCATAAACTCTTGATATTGAACATATAGGAGGTGTTGAGAAAATTGTAGTTTTTCTGAACAATTCTCTGAGGCATGTATTGCCCTGATATAGTTTACAGGTGGATCATTATACACTTTTTTTTTTAATCACCCTCGGTCACCCGGTCAGCAACAGCGCCCTATATCGGGATACAGCGCAATCTTGCGGAAGTGGAAAAAAAACCTCTTAGACTCATGAACATCTCTGTCAAGTATCAGCTGGATCCAACTGTCCCTTGAAATGTTAAAGTTGAAAAGTTCATCGAATTCTAAGACGGTCGAGAACACAAGTAATCACCCCACTTGAGGTGGGATGATCCACCTCCAAGCACCTTTAATTCACCTTCAAATGGGCATTGCAAGACTTAGGCAGGGGTGCTGAAAACAAGCTGGCAAGCATTTCAACACCTTGTCAAATATCGATCGCGTATCCAATGTAATTTTTTTTGCTGAATTTATGAAATGTGTTTCTCCCATATAAAACGGTGGAGCGTTTTTTTTTTTAATCATCCTATACAAAAGGGCTTCCTTTTTCATCGACCTGAAGATCATTTTGCCTTTTCTCTTCAGTTTTGGCTGCGAAAGTTGTGCTCATATGTGTGTATCATGTGATGATCTGAGACACTATGATGCGACCAAGGTGGCGTGGACGTGGAACTTAAAAATCACATCAAGGGTGGAGTGATACGTGTCGGATGGTTGACCAGTTGAGTAAGTGACAGGTCGTTGATGATGCCTGCAAGTGCAGTTTGCATGATTCAGAATGTCCACATTTAGTTTTCCTAAGATGGGCTTGTTTAGCAAGAGAGCTTGCAATTTAGCTCTCTTCGTCTTGAGGCGAAGGGAAAGTAGGTGAACCTGAGAGAATGAGAATCGTCTGATAGGTTCTAACGTCTGAGGATAGGACCACACAGTGCATGCGCATATGACTCCTGAGGCGCCCTGAGACTGAATGCCATATCAAGTTTCAGCGAAAGTATGCAAAGGCTCTCATCAAATAATCGCGCTTCATGGAAAAACAGGCTGCAACAGGTCCCATTGCTGTGATCTCTACTTGTCAGATTGTGCACGACTATCACATGCAAGAATAACGTGAAGGGAACAAGGAGCTCACACGTCAGAATGTCGCCCAAACAGCACCATCCTTGCATATTGGTATGGATGTTGTCCTTATACCAGCTAAAAATATTTTTCCATGGGTACATTTTTTTTAATCGCCGAATACATCCCAGACAACAGCATCTTCATTCATAGGTGGTCTTATGGAGATGAAGATTGGATGCATTCAATCTTCAGAAAATGAGAAAAAAAAAACATAAGGACTCCAAAACGAGTGAGGCAACACTTATTTTATTCTGGACTTGGTTATTCACCTTCTTGTATATTGGATTACACAAACACAGCATGCACCTCCATGGCTAGCTGCAATCCATATCAGACATGTGCCAGTTGTAGTACAAGAAGTAGAAAAAAAGATGGCTATGGAGATGTGAGGTAATACATCATCTTTTCTTCTGTTCCTGAAAAAAAAAACCACTCCACATCATACATGAAACAAAGGTAACACAAGGAGAAGGAATATGATATGGCCACAAGGTTATCAAAGCATGATCAAGAACCATGGTGCAACTGTTATGATAGAAAGTTGAACCACAGGGTCCCAAAGAATAATTTCAATCCATCGGTCATTGATGTCATACTATTCAGCAGAAATGAGAAAAACATGCACTTATTAATTGGGCATAGGGACTCATCACCACACAAGGAAAACATGAGATTTCATCCAGCAAAAAAGTCACAAAAGGAAAAATCATTCCTTCTAATTCCTCGCTAAAAAAAATGCTGAAAAGGGGATGCATGTGTTTTGGACATAGACAGCCAAGATCTAAGAAACATATCACTCATACATGAATCTTCAAAAGTTTATAATGTGACACAAGGACATCAAAGAGGAAAGCAAACCTGCCTCTGTGCCTTTCACATCTTATGTACAACAAGCCAAGAAAAAAAAAAAAAAATTTTAATCACAGAAGACAAGCCATATATATATATATTTATATTAGGATTGGACTAGACAACAAGCATGAGGGATCTCCAGTCCTACCAACATGCAGTAAAATGCTGTAAGACCACCCTAAGCATCCAGGAACTTCAGGGGAACCAAAAACTGAAGGAAATGTTTGACCTTCTCTTCACCCATAATAGTTCAATATTTGATATTACTGAGTGCCATGGTAATTTTGGAAGATAGAGACACTATTGTGTTATACTATTTACAAAACTTGCTATTGATGATAACTGGTGCCATTGACAACCAGTACTTTTTAAGGACATGATAAACCACCAGGGAAAAAATGCAGAAGGGCTGAAAATCTTCAGTCATTTTTTGCATTAGTTATGTGGCCAAGGAAAGAAGCACTGTTCTTCCACTTTTGATGAATGGCATCCAAACACAATATGAGTTCATCCTACCAGTTCAACTATCAAGAAACACTGACAGTGAAGGAATTTAATCATAAGACTACAGCGTGGACACATTAGAACAGCATCATGAACAAAGGACACAGTCCCATTGACAATCTGAGCTCTGCAATGTGCACAACCCACTTCTCTAGTGCATGCAATTCTCATTATCTAATGGAGGCATGAAAATATCTGTAACCAGTACAGAAAACTGGAATTTTCATATCAGTTCACTGTTTTTCTGTACCAGTTAACTGGACCACCAAATGCAAGAAAAATTCCAACAGCATCCTAGCATCCTAAGAAATAGTAAGACTTCTGAAAGTTACAAAAATACAAGATTTTCTTTACTGTCATGGACATACAGAATGCCACCATTAAATTAAAGTCAAGATGACAGAAAAATTCAGTGAGAAAAAAACAGCATTGGTACTTGAATAAATTCTGAGCATCAATCTATTTCACATTTGCATATTACCTTAGATGAGGTACTTTTCAAGCACTCCTCCTATGCACAAATACTTTTAAACATATTAACGGATGCCTAAGAAAGGATAGTTTCCTCAAGAGGGAAAGCAAAAGCTGGTAGAAAGGCTTGGAATGAAAAGAGCTTGGAGAATAGTGAGAGACACACCAAGGAGAAAATGAGAGAGTGGCTAATCGCCACCAAAGTAAGAAGTAATATTGAGGATGGCAAGGAAAATGTAGACAATGTCAAGGTAGAGTGTGAGAGCCCCATACACATGCTCCTCAGCGCTCAGCTCGTGCTTCCGACCTCCTACTATCATTTGGGTGTCATACATCAGATACTGGATGGAAGAGAAAAGAACAAATATTCAGAAGTTGTAATCATCTCATGAACTTAAATAATTTCACTTTGAGTCATGGATACGCACACAACCGATATGTGATATATCAATATCAATTTAGCCATGACAATCTTTTTTCCTTCATGCTAGAACAATCATGTAATATTTTTCTTTTTTTTTCTGGTTTGAAAAAAATACAAGGGGTGCTCAAAGTTTCCACACACTTAAAATAAAAATTTATGACTTGTGGGATTGCAATAAAAATTGGTTCACAAGCAACAATACCTGGTCTACTCAATATAGTCCCCAGGTAAATCAATGCACTTTTACTATCTGGTGGCCAGCATATGTAGAACGTATAGGTTATTGAAGCTTCTGGGTTGCAGTGCTTTGAAGATCTTCATTTCCAGAAAAGTGCACTCCTTGAAGGTGGTTTTTCATTGGGTCAAACAGAAGGTAGTCCAAGGGGACAAGGTCTGGACTATAAGGTGGGTGGATGATTACAATCTGCTGAAAACTGGCAATAACCAGCACTGCTTTGAATGCTCTATGTGGGCAGGCATTGTCTTGAAGAAGGCAAACATCAAGGTATCCTCAGTTCTGGTCTCTTTCTCCCTAATTCATTTTTGAGTATTGGTATTGTAATGTCTGGCAATGTCTGTAGTAATTGTTGTGTTAGGTTCATGAAAATCAATCAGTATTGGTCCTTGTTTGTCCAAAAACAGTCACCATGATTCTTTTGGTAGACATTTGAACTTAAAAAAAATTTTCTGAAGGAGATGATTGCTGCCATTCCTTGGACTGCTCATTCATTTCAGGAAGAAAAAATGGTAATAATGTATCGTCTCTCTTCACAACTACAGTCGAACTTGGTTATAATGAAACCTCGGTTATAACGACGAAAGCGCAAGGTCCTGGCGTAGAGCCCATAAGGCACATTATATTTTACCTTGGTTATAGCAAAGTCCATTAAAGACGAAATCGACAACGTTCATGTCCCTAATCCGTCATTCTTAACTGAAATTTCCGTCATGGGAAAAATTAGCGTTGGCGAGCCATAATTTTATATTTGCTGGATTCGGCACTCCTTGAGAGTCATGTGGGTGTGGCTGGAGCAATGTTAGGATGGGATAATCCTCAGTAATAAGATCACCTTATCTTCGGTCGCCATTTGCATTTCTCGTTGACAACATGGCCAACGGAAAACGAAAGAGGCAAACCTTCACGATTGAAAGGAAAGTGTGCTTGATTAGTTTAATAGAATAAGCTCAAAGTGAAGCTAATGTCGCTCGCAAACATGGACATCTATTCATCTGTTTCCAGAATTTGGGAAAATCATGACAGCTTCATCCGTGCTTACGAGAACATGTCACAAAACAAGAAACTTCCTAGGTCTGTCGAGATGACATTGACAAAGCCTTGCTAAAGTATAAAGTTGTTCAAGATCCAAAGAAGTGCAAACATCATGATTAGTGGAGATGAAGATTGAACATCAATCTTGAAACTGAAGCTAGTGCAGTATGACCAATGTAAACTGGAGTTGTAATGTTATATAGCATCAATTTTGAAAACAAGAAAACGAAGTGCCAATAAAGGCAACCTCAGTTATAACGACGGTTTTTACCTGGTGCCTTCGATGACATTATAACCGAGTTCGACTGTATGTTGAGAAATTCATCTCCAAGCTCTGCATATTACTGCAAAAATTCTTAGCCTGCCTGCCTCCATGTGAAAGTTTTTCTGATATGGTTTTCCATATTCAGGTTCTTGGGTTTCCACTTAACAGTGATTTTGTGGCAGTCCAGTTTGGCAGCAATTTTTCAAACAACCTTTACTGATACCCACCATGGATGAGATTTTGTGAGTCCTTATATGCTAATTAGTTTTCACAAGTTCATCCATGCAGGCTTAGTTTTCAGCAGTTGTTCAAGATGGGTGACCACTTCATGCTGTGTCTCTCACCATAACCCATAGTCCATTTTTAAACCTCTGTATCCACTTGTATACACTTCGAGTCATTATTTCACCACCAGACAATTTTTTTCAGATGGTGGTGAATTCCAGCACCATTCATACCCTCATAGTGCATGAAGTGCATAACAGAACACTACTGTAACAACTTGTTGCACTCCATCTTGGCACCCTAGCAGCTAGCAAAGGACTGGAGGCCAATAGCCAACAACAGGTAAGAACATACAGCATGAGTCCACTATTCACTGTGTAAGTCTTGGTGAAATCCAACCAGTATTAAATTTTTTTATGCTAGCAGGAACTTTCTGGACACTCCTCATAGGTTGAAAGGCATACAGCCCTGGTTGCAGAGTAAAGTAAAATGAACAGTTTCTGATAAAAATTTTTGGCACGGTTCAAGGCCCTTGTTCTCCCAAATAATTTAAAGTTTCAAACTCTGTGATTTTCAATTCTTGGAGTACATACCTCAAATAAAAAGGGACTTACTTTTTAGAACTCTTACTTACTTAGAACTCTTTAGCAAATTTGTGACTAAAGTAAAACACAAAGGAAAAAGGAAAAAGGGAACTCAAAGCTCACCATAGTGAAAAGAAGAGCAATTAGTCCAGCATAGCAGACATAGACGATCCTTCCTGTTCCTTTGTCCACTGCAAATACGATTATTGCAGCAATCCCAAAAAGAAACACTACCACAGAGGCAATACAGAGGAACATCCCGCATCCTGTCACGTCCCACTACACAATACAGCATGAACTGTGTGAGCAGAATCACATCATGCATGCACTTGATCTTATACATCAACAGAATCATCAATGGCAACATTTAACCATAAGCCAATAACTCCAATTGCGACATGGGGAGATTTCAGTCAAAGCCTATGAAGAATGGGAAATGATCATACCTTGGTTGTGGTGGCAAACAAGGAAACTAAGACAGTGACTCCAGCAGTGATTCCAACTGCAATCAGCACGATCTCTGTTTTGTGGAATGCTGAGATAGTTGCTGCCATGAATGCCAAAGCTGCTGTCTGAAAGTAGAGACACACTCTTAGCATACCTTCTCCTTTGATGGACATGAATCCCATCCCACTCCCAGAAGTGATAATGAGATCAATATTATACTCTGTCCCAAAAAATGTTGGCACCTTTTTTTTTGTTGTAGCTTCTCACAATTGGTTTAGACTACCACTGCATGCTTTTGAGGGCTGACTAAGACATCAAATGAGCCCATGCATGCAAAATTGTATACAAAATCAATCTATTCATTTTGGAGATGCAGCAGCCTATTCTAAGTAAGGTTGCAGCGGACAATTGCCACCAGCTGCCCTCAGCTCAAGCACAGCCAGCCAAAGAGGGAACTCACTGTTCCCCCATTCCCCAGTCGCAGAATGTGAACCGTGCAGCATTGGGTTTCAATGGCACACGCCTGTTCATAGAATGATATGGCAGGCACTTTGAGCACCTCATCAAATTGTCAAACATAAAAGATTTTTGCAGTTATCTTGGTCATGCGCATCATGTTAGCCATCCTGTATGAGGCACAATACCAAGTTTGGACTCATGTACCCATACAATTCTGGCAGCACTCCCTTACTGCTGGCATGCTCTGAATCACCTCCTGTATATCAAGAATCAGTGAATGGATATTGTTATAACTTTGCATGTATGTGCCCCTTTGATGTATTGGGTTGGAAAGAAAGTCTTGCAACACTGCGCAAATTTTTTTAAATTTTATAATTTTATTGAAATGCAGCTTCAGTCTACAATGTAATGACCATTGTTGTCTATGACATGTTCCAAACGCACGGGTAACTGCTCGATGCCCTTTGCCCAGAACTCTGGTGATTGCGAAGCGAAGAAACGGCCGACATCATTTTCGAGCTGTGCTCGATCGTCGAAGGCCTTGTCCCGCAGGTGATTCTTGAGGGCCCAGAATGAGTGATCGTCGGAAGGGGCCAAGTCTGGAGAATACGCTGGATGGGGTAAAACTTTCCAGCCCAGTTCCAAAATTGTCTGGCGAGTCATCTTCGCAACATGTGGACGAGCGTCGTCATATGGTACCGGTTGGCAGGAGCTCATCGTGCGACATTCCTTCTGAATCCCACCGACAGCAGAGAAGAACCTTCTTCTTGTGGAACCCTGGTTTCGGTTCATGTGGCGGCAATTCTCCTCGTGGAAGCCACTGACTCTTACGAGTATGGTCGACGTCAAGGACCCAGCTCTCATCTCCGGTAATGATTTCCTTCAGAAGGTCCTTTCTGTGCGGACAAAGGAGCAGTGATTTGCAGACACTGACACAGCTTGCTTTGTCAGAGTCACTGAGCCGATGAGGGACCCATGTCGAGTAAACCTTCCAATAGCCGAGGTCGTTCAGATGGTTGCCAATGGCCATAGTAGACTTGGAATAGTGGACGACGTTGCCCTCGAATGCAGTGCAGATGTTGTCCGCGGCGGCTCTCGCAGAGTGTCCTTGGAGGAACTCATAGTAGACGATGGGGCGAAGAGTTGCTTGTTTGGTCGGAGCCATGGCTGCCAACTGATGGCAGAAGCCGCCTTATATACCCCAAGGGCAGAAGCTTCGAGAACATTCCAGCATATACAAATGCAAAGCCATCATTCCATTAAAAATTTTAATAAATGGTTTTAGAAAGTGTTGCAAGACTTTCTTTCCAACCCAGTATTAGTCAGTCCACAAAGGTGCATAGCAATGGCCTGAACCAATTACGAGTGGCTAAAAATTGAAGAAGGTTCCAAATTTTTTTGGGACAGAGTGTACTTCACAAAGTATTCAGGCTATGCTCAGCATCATTCATAATCTCTCATTCATGGAAAAGAATAAAAAGGAGACAAACAGAAACTTAAGTAGTACCTTACAAAAATCAATAAAAAGTAAACAATTGTAGAGGCCTGCCTAAAAGTCATAACCTCCTTTCTTAAATTTCTTATTCTTGCTTTCAAATTGGGTTGATGTTCATGTAGTAAACCTCCAATATCACTTGACAATCCAGAGAGCTCAAAATAGCCACTTTATAAAAACCTTGCATTCCATTGGCGCAAGTGCTCCAAAGGCAAACTCTGCTAAATCTGGAACTTGCTATAGATTAAAATTGACACAGCAGCTAGTAACTAACAGGTAAGAAAGAAGGCAGCCACATATTTAAAAAATTAGTTACAGCAACTGTGAACTATTTTATCCTCCAGAGGCAGTGCCAGCCCTTGGGATTATGGAGCTTATAAATATGTATGCCTAGAGTATGATGTCTCAAGGATGTGCTTATATAAGGAACTGCAGTGATTCCTATTTGCTCTTTCTCAAGCAGCTAAGGTAGGGATTCTCCCTGAGCTCTGTCTGTCTCTTCTCAGTCTTCTTCCTTGCATTGTCATAGGTCCCTGTTGTCAATCTAACTCCCCTCCCCTATTCTATGGTTGTCCTGTGAATCTTGAAAAGGCGACTTTTTAAAACCTCCATCAGGAGTTCCTTGCTGTAGCATCATGCTTTGCCTCCCTTTGACTGCTTACTCTTTGTGGCAATTCTGTCTCATTGCCTCATGTCAACTTTTGTCTGCCTGATTACGCAAGTAATGAATTTTGGACAAGAAAAATTATCACAGGTGGGACAGATGTGATACTGCACTTGCCAAAGCTAATATGCAACACAAGGCAACAACAGCCCATAGCAGCAAACCCCTAGTTAGAAAGAACTTAAAACAATTGGAAGCATTTTTTGCACTTATGTTTCAGTTTATGCATTATTAATTGAGGAAAATGATTAGGGAGGAAGGGATTCATATTTCCATATTTTCTTCAGAAGATAAAGGTTATGAAGCCTACATGCACCTCACTGAAACTGAAGTGATTAGGAGGAGCCATTCCTAACTTAAAAACTCAGAAAAGATGACAGAATTATAGGACTTACAAATATGGCCAGAACAATCATATTGGTGGGAGATTTGCGCCTCACACCAGGACAGCATACAAGGGCAATGAATGTGCTCAGGAAAACAACACTATTAAGAGATCGAGATTGAGTAGAGAGAAGTCAAAGAAAGATCAAGAATTTATTGAAAGAAACTTCATAAGAACTCACTATGAAATCCAGTACACCCATTGGTTTCTCACGATGAACAACTTGATGTCACTTCTAAAGGGAAAAAAAAGACAGTTCATGCATAGTATGAATACAAAGTAGAATAGGCAGAATTCAACACCCAAAATTACAGCATCTGATGGATCTCTGGCAAGGAGCAAAGGTGCAATCATAGTTATGTGGTACACAAGGTCACAACTTTGCTTTGAATCAAAATGCCATTCATTAATGGCACTGCATTTCATTTTGGAATGAAGCACAATTCACACATTGCCTACAAGGGGGCTAAATAGTGTATGCACTCTTGCACCTGGAATTTCATTTCTTTATGGATTTGTCTCTTTTTTTCCTTGCAGAAATTAATTTTGTGAAAAGATCAATCAAGTTCATTTTTCAGACAATCCATCTCATACAGTATGCAACATGAAATCTCAAAGATTAAGATACAGAATATATGACAATTTATGCATGACAGTATAATAACTATACAATTCTAGAGAACTGTATAATGAAAGGAGTGTAATATATTAATTCCAATTCTTAACAAAGGAATCTGATATAGTAAGTGGTCTTCAGGTCACAGAGTTGACTAGTGGAGTGATCCCAAGTACTCTTGCCAAGTCACTGGTTATTTAGATGCCAACCAATTTGTCAATCCTAGGCACAAGAGGCTTCCCTCTCAGTACAAAGAGATCTAAGCAGTTCCAAAAGACTTACACAAAAACAAAGAGAGCAATTAAAGCAAGGGTGAAGAGGAGCTGGATGCTCAGGATGCCATAGACTCGACTGACAAATCTCCTCCTAATGTTTTTATCCGAGAATGAAGCTGCAAAGCCAGTTCCTCCTTCTTCTGCTCCATGAGGGCCACTTGCTGGTCCTTGAGGAATCACCTGAACATAAGGTCTTCCTCCAGCTCCACCTTCACTTACATTTTGCTGAAAGCACCAGAGAAATTGATTCATTGGTGTTTGTGGCTTTCAATGCAAATCATTTTAATAATTGAAAGCTTCTTCCTTTCCACATTTCATGCTTCCCAATATGGATCTCATGTTATAACATGAGATCTATATTTCCAGAGACCAAAATGATTAAAGTCATCAGAGAATACTGTGGGTGGACAATTTGATCACACCCAGCAATGTGATAAGGACAGTGAGCAGACAATGAACAGCATAAATAAAACACAAACAACATGCAGCATGCTCTCATTTTGATGAGCTCAGAGATGAGAATGATTCTCAGCCTAGTTCAATTAGAAATTGGACCATAAATTGTTTGACCTTGTAAGATTGAGCAAAAACTAGCTTCTCCCTGCTAGCTATTGCTCTTATATGCTTTCCAAACAGTTTTTTAGAGTCATCTATGCTAAAATCTCAGGACCTCATGATCACCTACAAGAAAAAGGAGTTAAGTAAGGTAAGAGTGGATAACTTACAACAGGCTGAACAAGTGGTGGAGGCTGAAATCCATATGGAGGTGGCTGTTGACCATAAGAATAACCTGTTTGATATGCACCTCCCATTGGAGGTGGATAAGGTGGAGCATTTGGATATGCCTCCTGCTTTGGATATCCTTCTCCTCCAGGATAATATGCCATGCTCAACTGATTCCTTCTCAAATATAATTACATTAATTTAGAGTATCTGAACTTTTTCTCCTTTTTCTTGTTCACTCTTTCCACCTAGCGAAACTAAACGCGAAACATTGCATATCACAGATAGCCTAGACAATGAATTCATACACCATATCCCTAAGTCAAATCACAGATAAGCAGTTATGGATCAAAACTTTTATGAAGTCCATTTTATTTTCTTCATTTTGGGGGCCATATGTCCCACCAGATTTTAAAAAAAAGGATCATGATGTTATGTGACTTTGGAGATATACACTGTTTCCAGATTGAATTCGTACCCCCTATAGGAGCGCTTCCATCGATTGCAGGTAGTGACATCTTACACATGGGTGGTTTTATCTGATTGGAAAGAAAGTTCTCGGAATTTCATGAACAATTATTACAACCCAGTTTATTTAAAAGCAAAATCATCTCAATCATGAATGTAATCACCATTGGCCTCTATCACTTCACGCCAACGTTTATGCAAACTATGGATGCCATTCCAATAGAACTCTGGCGGCTGCGCTANCCAACAATCCCAGGATTGAGAAAATATGCAATACCGAGATTTTTCTGCCTACGCGCTCGGCACGGGAGGAAAAAATTGATACCTTCGTCCCTGAACTTAAAAACATCAGTCACATGGGGATATCTTCCAGGTTCCATTCAGGTGCTTGATCTTCCTGTCCCGCCGATATCATCTTCCCAGTGCCTCTTGGGGGCTTCATCTTTTCGCAGTCGTCATTTACCTTCTTTCAATCCCTTGTCATCCCCCATCCGAAACACTCTGACCGTCTCTTGTCTCTCTTGTTTTCCCGCATTATTTCTTTCTTTCCCGCTCGCATTTCTCTGTTTTTGTTTTCTTCCTGCCTTGCCTTCACGATTGGTCGCTACCATTCCGAGAACTTTCTTTCCAATCAGATATCTATTGCCTGCCGAGGCGAAACCTCTGGAAATGTGTGTTTCCTTCATTCACCACTATAGGGGGATGGTACGAATTCAATCCGGAAACAGTGTATCACTCATAACATGACAGTCCAATGACTGAAGATGTCAGGACAATATAAGTAATTAGAGGATAGGCAAGAGCAGAGGTGGAAAAAGTTCTGTAACCTTATTACCAGGCTACCGGGAAGGGTAGCGACCAATCGTGAAGGCAAGGCAGGAAGAAAACAAAAACAGAGAAATGCGAGCGGGAAAGAAAGAAATAATGCGGGAAAACAAGAGAGACAAGAGACGGTCAGAGTGTTTCGGATGGGGGATGACAAGGGATTGAAAGAAGGTAAATGACGACTGCGAAAAGATGAAGCCCCCAAGAGGCACTGGGAAGATGATATCGGCGGGACAGGAAGATCAAGCACCTGAATGGAACCTGGAAGATATCCCCATGTGACTGATGTTTTTAAGTTCAGGGACGAAGGTATCAATTTTTTCCTCCCGTGCCGAGCGCGTAGGCAGAAAAATCTCGGTATTGCATATTTTCTCAATCCTGGGATTGTTGGATCTCGCTCTAATTAGGAGGATAGAAGGTGAGAAGTGGGGACATCGATCAAATTCGCCTGATTGTAAAATAGAGGCGGCCTTGTCATCGGCATGAAATTGGAATTATAATTTTGAATGCGTATTTCGCGAGGTGAGAGATACTGATCACCGAATTAGGAGGTGTCTTGCGCCTCGGAAACCACTTCCTTTGCTCTTTAATCAGTCGGCAGTCAGGTTACCTAGCTTTCCGACAGATTAATTGTTCCCTTCGCGCCTTTTTTCAAGCGATCCTATTTGGCCCTAGGGTTGGGAGAATACGTTGCTCTCCATCCCCCATCGGAAGGCCCTCCAATTTCATCCCGCTATCTCGATTCCGTCTCGATTTCGATAGTCCTGTGCCAGACCTCTTGGTACGTAGCAGTTCGCGTGTCCTGTCAACTCGTATGTATCCTGTCACTGAGAGAATGTCTGCAGGTGTCTAGTGACGAATTGCCCTAACAAATCTTAAACCCTTAGGCAAGCCAAAGAGCTCCTAGATCAAGCTCTTGATCTCAATTTTGGAGGGAGAAGTAGCTGGCATTTCTTGCGAAGAACGCAGCAAGCATATACGTTGAAGTTACATGCTGTTTCCGAGACCGTTTAACGACTGAATAGACAAAAGGGGATGTTTGAAGTATGAACTCAATAAAATCAATATTCAAATTCAGAGATGAAGATATTGATCGATGTGCTCCGCAGCACAAAAACCTTTAAAGACCCTTTCAAATTACATTTCTTCAATTTTAATAAAGGCCAAGAGCTTCTGATGGCTGTGCACTGCCTATAAGATCCTGTTAAGGACCTACACAGGCGTTTTCTTTGAATGTGGTGGCTTAAAATTGATCTCTTGCCAAGCATCCCTCCTCCCCTTTTGACTCTGCTCAGTCCTCCAAACACAGGGTCACTTCACACACCTGCTAAACTAGGAAAGTAAACCATTATTACCAGGAAGCAGAATAACTTTTTCCACCTCCAGGCAAGGGTATTTAACCCTTTCCATGGTATGCCCAATAAATTCTCAGGATTCTCTCTTAGTGTGTCAGAGAACCTGTCACTGAAGGGGTTAAAGGCTTGGTATTTACTAAGAGTATGAGGTATTGTACCACACAGCATTACAAAGACCAGTTCATATTGGAGGCAAAATAATACATCACAGCATGAGATTTACTCTATCATATACATTTTTCACCCCTGCCTAGTACCTTGACAATGAAAGCAGAACTATCAAACCTATGTCATTTTAGAAATAAGAAAAAAGGTGACTGCCATTTTTAATATTCCTCAAATGGCACAAAAAAATTAAGGTCACCATCATTCTTATGGCAGGATGAGTCATGGAATGAGATAAAGCAAAAAAAGGTATGTTTTCTGAAGGCAAATGTTTCTCTCAGGAGGAAAAGCAGTTCTATGTTATCTCCTGGTACCATGGAACCATTCTCCATCCCTTAGCTTATAACTGATCCATGCCAGGTTATGTATAAGAAAACCAATACAATGATTTTCAATTGATTGCACCCCCTAACCCCTTCTTAACAATGTCACATGTCATCCAATAGAGCAACATCTGCTATCTCAAAATAACTGCCCCTGACGAAATCAGTGACTGAAGTAGGAATTAAGTTCATTCTTGCTTCCACCACAGTAGGACTACAATCAATAGAAGTCACCATATCACATTCTTATACCTAACCTCCAGGGTTTTCCATCAAAGGGTCTGAACAAAGACATTAGAGTCAATTAGGGAAGGACAAGGCAGCTCTTTTTGTATCTTCTCCAGTGTGAGCTTGCAGTCCATTTCATTATTTGTCTCAGACCGCAGATGCATATTCCAAGATGGGCCTAAAAGGGATCTATATTGCTGTCACCATTGCTTAGCTATGACTTTGTTTCACTTTATAAGGGCAAGAACTCTTGTTTACTTTTACAATCAAAGTCTATATATAAGCCCTCCAATTCAGAATACTACTGAGTAGTCCAATATATCAGTTATAGTTCACTGTTTCAAGAGCTATGTCATCAGGAAAGGGAGTCAATCACAATATGAATATGCCTGTAGAAGCTTGGAATAGTGTAATTGCTAGCTTAAATCTTAACCATTCCTTGAATGAATCCCATTTCCATGACCATCCAGGCCTGCAGCAAGACCTTATTAACCCTTTCAATGCTATGATAGAATTAACTCGAGAGCAGAATAAGTATCTTCTTGCAGTATTTCTTTTTGTGCTTCTTACCTGAGATTTTTCAGGACAATCTGAACCTGTCCAGTTGTATACATAATAACATTGTAAATTAAAGGGAACATTTTTTATTATAAGGCCTAAAATGTTGCACAAAAAAACAAAAAACTCAGCAAAGGGATAAGTAAATAAAAATAATATAGCAGTGGAAGGGTTAAGGTCTTGCTGCAGGCCAGCATGGTCATTCCTGGTGTGAATTCACAAACATACAGGGTATGACAATCAATTAATTTCACCCTACATATCTTTGTTCACATAGAAGCTATTTTCAAGATATCAACTCTGTGCAACAATTGATCTGTTTCTAGCTAAGCATTGAAATTTCATTCATATTGGTTTCACCTAAGCAAAGCTAAAAGCTATTGTACAAAAGAAACCATAAACTGAAAATGGACAGGATTCTCCAGTTTCTTCAGACCAATTAGACTCTGCCTGCATCATTCACTATTAACCAAGGAAAATTTAGAACAAACTTAGAGATAACTCTCTATATTCTAACATATTGACTCACCAGTCATTTGTAATTCAAAAAAGTCTATCAAAACGATCTCCAATAAAAGAGAGATTCAAAAAAATTACTTTCAAAGGAGAAGCTCAATGTGACCACATGTCACATGTAACCACAATGCAAACTTCCTCAACTTGACAAACAACACAAGCTCTTGTCCTTATCAATGCCTAACTTCTTTTGAACAGTAACATGGTCTTGCCTGACAAATGTAGATTAACTTTTGACAATATATTGGAAACATCCACCTGTACAGGGTACAACCATACTCACAAGTTTCATGAAAAAGCTCCAGTGAATGGGGAGACATATAGGCTAAAGTTGTGACACTTTTTTACCATCCCCTGTACAATACAATCAGCGGCTAATAAATCTGATCTATTATTTCATGCTATCATTGATGAACAGTGAAAATTGAAGCCCGAAGTCTGGCCCCAGATGTTAGGCCTACCTTAACCACAAATGAGCATTAGGCCTACGTGAAACAAAACCTCTCAGAACAATGGAATAGGTCCACTTTGTATGGCAAGGTTTAATAGTAGCGAGAGAAATTTTAGCAGAGCATGGCAGCTCCACGGTACAAGTACTAACGTGTAAAATGACGAGCAAAAGGGGGTATTCTCCCACTAAGCGCTGTGGTCGCACTCAGACTCAACGAGTTCCCCATCTGCTCAATAGGTGGCAGACAAGGGGGAATAGATTCATGGAGAGACACTTTCGCCCATCATGATGTACCATGTCAAGGTCGAGTGTTCATGTTTCATGAAATAGGCCAACCCATCTTAAAGATAGATATTTTTGAGGGAGCATATCCACCTATTGCCTA